CACCCACCCCTGTTCCCCGAGCAAGCCCCAAACCGCACTCACGCTCTCCATTCAGAAAGTCCCTCAGGAACTGCTCGAAGGATGTGGGATCCTCATAGCTGTTGCACATCTTGGAGAAGTAGTAGTAGGAGACAACAACATCCCGAGGATCCCGTAGGGTGTAAATAACCTGGGGTAGAGTGCGTACAGGAGTGATAGGCTCCCGGTAGGGGAAAGGGAGTTGCAGAGGCTCCCGGTAGGGGAAAGGGAGTTGCAGACCCTGGCACTGGGGTAGATCTGAAAACAGAGGAATCTGCCACCCAAGGACCAACTCCATGCTAGACTCTGTCATGCAGACCTTGGGCAGGGGTCTCCATCAAAACACAAGCCCCGTAGAGTTTTGGAGACTCTCCAAAATACCCAATAGGGGAACGACATGAGATGGGAATCTGCGTATTCCCATCTGGAGGGCATGGAGGACACTTGCTACTCTCCTAGGCCAACACCAACATCCTCACCCAACACCTCTCACTCCAAGGTTCCCCATATCCTGGGCAATGGTCTTCCCAGGTCCCCTTTCACCCTTGAAGCTCTGCATGGGTGCCTGTCCCACCTTGGCGCTGGAATGGGAGAAGGACTTGGGGAAGATGTGCCTGGGGAGGTGGCAGGTCAGCAGGCGAGGCGGGGGGTAGCTGAGGGCTGACTCTAGACCCAGGCGGGTTGAGAACCAGGGCATGCGGTCAGAATTGAGGACAGTTTGGCTCCAGCCAGGGCAACCGTGGCTGCGAATGAGGCTCAGGATCTCGGTCATCCACACAGTGCCTGTCAGGGAAAGCAGAGATGCAGGGCAGGGGACCTTGCCCGGGGGGTTGGGATGGGAGGACCTCCCTGTGCCACAGCTCTATGGTCAGAAGCACCCTCAGCACTGAGTCTGTGCCCCATAAGGGAAGATTCACCCTCTGAACAACATCTGGAGGTGTTTCCAAAGCCCTCAGCCCTCTCCTGCTCCTCTCCACCCTTAGCCAGCCCTGCTGTCCACCCCTCGTACCAGACTTGGGGTAGGTGACGTTGAAGATGTCATCGTCCCGCACCAGGAACTCATTGTGGGCGAAACTCAAGCTGTGCTCAGAGTTGTAGGCAGGGGGGAACTTAATGCCTTCGTACATCACATAGTGGACCGGCATGGTGACTGGGTGGGGATGGGGATGAGGTGCTGCAGCTCTGAGCCACTGTGATACAGAGGGAGACAGACAGGGTTAGGGTGCTGACTCCAAGCCAAGAAGCCTCTTCTCTACCATAGTGGGTCCTAAACAGGAGCCCATCGGGGGATGTTGGGGATATGGGATGTGCATCATGGGAAAACCCAGCTGGATGCTCTCCGGTCCTTCCTCATGGGGACCCTACCCCAACAGCAGGTTGTGTGGGTGGGGGTCTGCTGCCTTGTAGGGCATTTAAGGAGCTCTAGGGCTAAATTCCTGTTGAGGGACCAACCTCCCATCTCCGTCCCCTTGCTGCCCCACATGTTTACCTGCCCTCACAGCTTGGAGGGGTGTCGAGCAGCGCTGTTGCAGGATCTCTGGCCAGCCAGGGGGACAGGAACTAGAAATTCCCTGCCTGGTACCCAAAACCCAGCTTTGTTCTGCTCCAGGAGCGCCAGGTCCTCAGAAATTCCAGGAGCTGGAAGGAGACTAAAAAGGGAAGAGAAATTCTTTCTGCCCTTGTGCCACCATTCTGCAGCAATGATTAACAAGATCCAAAGTCCGGCAGGCATCCCTTTCCCGAGCACGGGGCGGGTGGGCTGGGATGCAGGGAGCACACCAGTGTAGGTCCTTTTGGGAGCACGGTGGGGTGGGAAACTGGTGTCATGTGTCCTCTGCCCTGAACTCCAACCCCGCTGCAAGAGCCCCGCTTCTCTCCCATGTCTCTTTGAATTCCCACCTAATCCTCTCCCTTTTCTGCCAAATAAACTGTTAAATGATTTCCCTGACCTGAAGATCCTTGCCCAGCGATTTTCCCAGTAAATTTAACAAATCCATGAAAATATGGATTACTAAAATGTCTCACTAAAAAAAAAAAAAAGTCCTTCCAGGAAAGGCAGCAATGCTGCTACAGCAATAAAAGATGGGCCAGATCCTCTTTTCCATGAAAAGCCTTCACGATTGCACTACAGGGGGAGGAAGAGGAGAAGTTCTTCCTCCGTTGAGGCACTGTATGGTCTGCTGTAGATCCAAGGACGGGGATGTTTAATGCCAGTAATGAGAAGCAACCAATGCTTCTAGTAAATAAGGCAGCCGTGCAGGCATCTGTAAAATTAAAAGTATTTTCTACACGGTCCCCTAGGAACGCAGCCAGGATCCCGCTTCCTCACAGAAGGATTGCTATTTTGAAAATGTTATGTAACGCGATATGCCCATAAAAGCAGACAGAAAAATAAATCCATGGGGTGCGTGCAGAGTGTTTGAGAAGTGGTAAATTTTGGCTTTGAGTGCATAGTGCATTGGTTTTTTCAGACAACCAATTAACCCAGCGATTCCCCTTTGGATCCTGCTTTGCTTTCTAAGCAAACAAGAGAGAAAATGGGATTAAGAAATGTTTAAACACTTCAAAGAAGAATGTTAACCCACCCCCGGGTTGGAGGTTAACAGTGGAAGTGCAAAATTAAATTAACCATTCACCTTCCTTGCTTCAAGCTAAGGAACAACTTAAGCAACACTAAAAATTACAGGGAAAACTTCAAAGTATTACCAAATTTTTTTTTTGTTTACAATCCAAGCAGATATTTTCAGAACCGAGCTAAAAGAAATCTATCTGGTGTTTTATAATCAACAGTTAATAACTAACGGTGGGCTTGCCCACCTCCAAAAAGTAAGTATAGCAGCCTAACAAAGTAGTAGGAATTAGAGAACCAATATGTGACAGGACAAGGGGTGATGGTTTTAACTGAAGCAGGGTAGGTTTAGACTGGATCTAAGGAAGTAATTCTTCCCAGTGAGGGTGGTGAAACCCTGGCAGGGGTTGCCCAGAGAGGTAGCGGAGGCCCCATCCCTGGGAACATTCAAGGTCAGGTTGGACGGGGCTGTGAGCAACCTGATCTGGTTCAAGGTGTCCCTGCTCCCTGCAGGGGGGTTGGGCTGGGTGACCTCTAGGGGTTCCTTCCAACCCAAAACATTCTCTGATTCTGTTTGTAAACCCCTTGGTGTGGATCAATTGTCAGTTAAAAAATGTCATAGCTTGTATCTTAGAAATAGATATTTCACCGTCCCTAAAAGACCTTCAAACATTGGAAGCAGAGTTTGGTTAGTTAAGTGATAGAGAAAACCCAAAGTGGAAATCAAGTTTGAGATAATTTTCAGTTTTCCTATTAATAAAAGAAAAAAAAACAAAACAAACCCCATCCATGCTACCGAGGGAAAAAGAAAAAAAAAAAAAAAAGCAAAGAAAGGATTTTAAACTGCAGCCAGGGAATTTCACAGAATCCAAGAATTCCAGCATGGCCGGGGTTGGAAGGGACCTCGGAGCTCACCCAGTCCCACCCCCTTGCTCAAGCAGGCTCACCCAGAGCAGGGGGCACAGGACAGCGTCCAGGTGGGGGTTGAATATCTCCAGAGAAGGAGACTCCACAGCCCCCCTGGGCAGCCTGGGCCAGGGCTCGGGCACCCTCAGAGTCAACAAGTTCTTCCTCATGTTCAAGTGGAACCTCTTCTGCTTCAGTTTGTGCCCATGGCCCCTTGTCCTAGCGCTGGCCACCACTGAGAAGAGTCTGGCTCTGTCCTGGTGACCCCCACCCTTGAGATATTTGTACGTGGTGATGAGATGTTGATTTAACTTAAACTTTAAGGAAAAGCCACTGATTATAAAGATCATCAAGTATTAAACATATTAAGATGCAACAATTCCAAGTCAAACTTAATTTCTCCAGCACTAAGGTTGTAGAAGGAAATCCCAAACCAGAATCCACAGCAATTTAGAATGAATTAAACTTAGTTAATTAATGAAAGTTACCACTTTAAAATTAATTAAAGTAGCAATAGAGGAGTGAAGTCTTATTAAAGAAAACCCATTTGTGCCCAAGTGGAACAGAAATCAAATACATCACCCATTCTGGGAGAAATTAATTTATCATATTCATGTCCCATCGCGATATTTTAAAAGCCTAGCATGCACCATTCATTCTTAGCTTTTAAATATTCTTTAACTGCTATTAATTCTGCCATGGCAGGTTCGATTTGGAATTGTTGCATCTTAATATTTTTAATACTTGATGATACTTAGAATCACTGGCTATTCCTTAAAGTTTAACTTAAATCAACATCTCATCAACATGTACAAATATCTCAAGGGTGGGGGTCACCAGGATGGAGCCAGACTCTTCTCAGTGGTGGCCAGTGCTAGGACAAGGGGCCATGGGCACAAACTGAAGCAGAAGAGGTCCACTTGAAC